TACTGACTCCAAGTGCTCTTTCTGGCTTCCTGCCCGCCAGGGATTGCGTCTCGTGTCCTCTCCTTTCAGCTTCAAGAACTGCCTTCAGTGGTTTCCGTCGTGTGCGTTGTGGGGCAGCAGAGTCTCACAACGTTTGGTTGCCTGAGAATGTTTAGTCTACATTAACGATGGGTGTTTTGTTGGGAATGGAATTTTAGGTTGGCAGGTGGATTTGGTTTTTTGTGGGGTGTGTTTTGGGTTTTTTGCTCTCGAGCATTTTAAAGATGTCATTCGGTTGATTCTGATGTGAGGTGATTGTCCTCATTCACTTCAAAGTCACGTACCTTTTTGTCTGGCTGCTTGCTGCTTGTGGGTCTGTTTGTGTGTAAGTCATTTGGCTGTGATGTGTGGTTTTCTTTGTATTTATCCTGCAGGGCAATTTGCTGAGCTCCTTAGATCTGTGTGTTGGTGTCTTTTTCATCAGCTTTGGGCGATTTCCTGCTATTAGCTCATGGAGTGTTTCTCCGAGCTTCCCCCCCGCCCTCAGGACTCCAGTTATCTATGCGCAGGACCGTCTCATCTGACCCCAAAGGTCTCTGATACTCCGGGGGTTTTGTTTTGTTTTATGTTTTTCTATTTTTTTTTTCCTTTATGCTTCCAGTTTGGATAATTTTGACATGTCTTTGGATTTTATTAGTCCTGTTTTTTTGTTTGTTTTGTTTTGTGTTGTTTTTTGTTTTTTGTTTTTTGGTGATGCTTTGTGTGCTCTTAAGCTATCCAGTATATAATTTTTTAAAAAGGTTTTATTTATTTGACAGAGAGCGCAAGTAGGCAGAGGGAAAGGGAGAAGCAGGCCCGCTGAGCAGAGAGCCAACATGGGACTCGATCTCAGGACCCTGGGATCACGGCCTGAGGTGAAGGCGGATGCTTAACTGACTGAGCCACCCAGGCGCCCTGTAGCCAATATATTTTAGGTATTTTTTAGTTCTGAAGTTTCCACTTGTGTTTGTAGAGCTTATTTCTCTATTGAAATCCTCCATTCCTTCGTCCCTCTGCCTCACTGTCTTTGTTCCTTAACAGATGTAGAGCAGTGATGTAATAGTCCTTGACCTCTAGTTTCAACATCTGGGGCCCCTGTAGGTCTGCTTCTATTGGCTGTTTTCTTCTCCTCTTGATTATAGATTACATTTTCCTCCTTCACATTTCAGAATTGTTTTTGCATTCCAAACATTGCGTTTGAACATTGAGAAGCCAGGCCCACCTGCCCCCCCAGCAAGAGGACACTCCTTCCTGTACTGGCTGGCCTGGATGACGGACTTGGGCCGGCTGATCAGGCTGGGTTCCCACTTGAGCTTTGGGTCACCTCTAGTTTTCAGGTCTTGAACTTTATTCATGTCTTGAGCTGCCTTGTTTTTATTGCCAGTCCGGGGTTCTAGCAGGACTCCAATTTCCAAGCATGGAGAGACCACAGATTTCACTCTGTCTTTCCACCCCCACCCACCCTGCATCACCAGCCAAGCACTAAGCAAAATCCCATGGGAGAAAACCTGCCATTTTTCGAGCTCCTTCAGGTTCGGGTTTGTTTTGCCAGCCCACACAGGCGTCGGCCCCAGCTGGCTTCTCTTTGGCAGAGAATGCCCTACCCACAGCACACCCAGCTCAAGCATATGCTTCTGGGGGGCACTTGCTGGCCTCTGCTCTCTGGCCAGTCGTTCTTCCCCTGAAACCTAGCCTCTCTAGATTCCTCGGCATCCACATTCCTTTGATATATTTACAATTAAATACTTCTTTTAACTTTTTAAAAAATTTAGGATGTTCGATGTGGCCCGATACATGCATACAGTAGGACATTGTATAGGATCCCCACGATCAGGGAAGTTAACACATCCATCAGCTCACAAGAGTTGACTGTGTGTATATGGTGAAAACACAAGGTCCCCCTTTTAGCAGCTTTCAGGTACAAGGACTGTGCTAACTGTAGTCACCAGGCTGTACAGTGCACCCACAGAATGTGTGCATCTTATAACAGATCTGGTACCCCCCCCGCCAACCATCATCTGCCCATTTCCCCCACCCCTGGCCACCAATTTACTCTCTGGTTCTATGGAGTTGTTTTAGTTTCAGATTCTACATGTAAGAGATCCTATAGCATTTGTCTTTGTGTGCATAATGTCATGCATGTTGTTGCAAATGGCAGAGCTTTTCTTTAAAAAAAAAAGGGGGGGGCTAAATAGGGATTCCTGGGTGGCTCAGTCGGTTATGTGGCTGCCTTGGGCTCATGTCATGATCCCAGGGTCCTGGGATGGAGTCCTGCATTGGGCTCCTTGCTCAGCGGGGAGTCTGCTTCTCCCTCTGCTTGCTGCTCCCCCTGCTTGTGCTCTGTCCCTGTCTGTGTCTCTCTCTCTCTAGCTAGCTAGCTAGCTAAATAAATAAATAAATAAATAAATAAATAAATAAATAAATAAGCAAATAGTGTATAATACACACTACATATCACATTTTCTTCATTCATCCGCCATGACACTTCATTTCCATGTCTTCTTAGTAATGCCACACTGAATGTGGGAGTGCAGATGCTTGGGATATTGATTTCATTTCTTTTGGATGTACACCCAGAGGTGGAATTGCTGCATTGTATATTTCTATTTTAAATTATTTGGGGAACCTCCAGTTCTGTTTGCAATAGTGGCTGTACCTATATGTGATTTCCGTAGTGCAGCTCTCGTCTTTTTTTAACCAAAGTTACAGTCTGCCGTGACTGTCTATATCCTAACCAGAAATAACCCCTCTTACTGTGTCCTCAGTATCTGTAGGGTCTGTAGTGCTGTCCCCTTTTCAGTCTTGACATTGCTCTTGGCTTTTTCGCTCTTAAAAAAAAATGTTTTTGTTTTTGCTAGGATTCCATCAAGAAACCAGCTAATGGTTTGTTTTGTATTTCATTCATTTTCTGCTTCATTTTTGGTCTCAGCATTTTATTTCCCATTTTGGGGATCGAATTTGCTGTTGTTCTCGTTTCTTAAGATGAAAACTTAGACCTTTGGTTTTAAACCTTTCTTCTTGGGCGCCTGGGTGGCTCAGTTGGTTGGGCGACTGTCTTCGGCTCAGGTCATGATCCTGGAGTCCCGGGATCGAGTCCCGCATCGGGCTCCCTGCTCCAGGGGAGTCTGCTTCTCCCTCTGACCCTCTTCCCTCTCGTGCTCTCTATCTCTCATTCTCTCTCTCAAATAAATAAATAAAATCTTAAAAAAAAAAACTTTCTTCTTTTCTAATCTGTGCATAAAATATAAATTTCCCCAATTCCACTTTAACAGGATCCTACAATTTTGGAATAGTACAATGAGATTATTGTTCAGTTCAAAATATTTCCTAATTTCCATATGGCTTTTTAGCCTGTATTTATGTAAACATGTTTTTATCTTCCTATGATTTATTTCCAGTTTGATTCCATTGCCATCAGAGTGCAGCATTCTACAGATGCTGATCAGGTGAAATCTTACACATTGAGAGGGTGTGATGGTGTTCGTTTCCAACTAGGATTAGAGGTTTCTCCGTTTTGTTCTGTTGACTCTGGATTTAGCGATTTCAAACCCGTGCTATGGTGCATACACTTAGGGCTGTTCTTTCTTCCCATCGAGTTGACCCATTCATCGCTGAGACGTCCTACACTTCCAGGAGCCCTTGGTGCCCTGGAGCCTCCTTTGCCTGATACTGATGCAGGCACGCCCACTTTCTTCTAAGGTTAGCGTTTGCAGTAGTGAAACTTAACACCTTTTGCCTTCAGTTTTTCTGTTTCTTTGTAATTAAAGTGAGACTCTGGTAATTAGGAACTAGTTTAGTTTTGGTTTTGTATCCAGTCTGACAGTCTTTATCTTTTACTTGGAGTGTTTAGATCTGTATACGTTTAACGTAAGTGACATAGGTGAGTTTTGGTCCCCCGTCTTACTGTTTGTTTTCTTTTAACTTCATTTAGCTTTATTTTCATTTTTGAAGGGCATAGAATTCTAGTTTGGTGGTAGTTTTTTTTTTTTTTTTTTTAAGATTTATTGAAAGACAGTGTGCGCTAATGACTTAGGGGAGGGGCAGAAGGAGAAACAGACTCCACACTGAGCGTGGAGCCCGACACAGGGCTCGATCTCACAACCCCAAGATCATGACCTGAGCCAAAACCAAGAGTCAGATGCTTAACCAGTTGTGCCACCCAGGCGCCCCTCTCCTGTTTTTAAGATTTTTTTTTCCTTTGGTTTTTGGCAGTTTGAGTATATGCGAGTTTGTTTTTTTTATTTTTTTATTTTTTTATTTTATTTTTTTGAAGATTTTTTTTTAAAGATTTTATTTATTTATTTGACAGAGAGAGAATGAGAGAGAGAGAGCATGAGAGGGAAGAGGGTCAGAAGGAGAAGCAGACTCCCCGCCGAGCAGGGAGCCCGATGCGGGACTCGATCCCGGGACTCCAGGATCATGACCTGAGCCGAAGGCAGTCGCTTAACCAACTGAGCCACCCAGGCGCCCCACGAGTTTGTTTTTTTCAATCTCACTTTGTGTCACAGATTTTTAAATGTATGGATTGAGGTCTTTACTCATTTTGGAAAATTCTTAGCTCTCAGGCCCTGTTCTCTCTCTGCCTGTTCTTGGGGATTCCCTGACACATGGAGCAGAGCCGAGCAGGGAAGCCAGGTCAGGTCACCCGTGTTGCACAGGCACGGCCTAGGGACCTACTGTGTGCCAAGCCCAGCCCCAGGTCCAGCGGGCAGAGCCTTCCCTGGGGTCCCCCGTTGCTGGACAGCGGGGGCACGATGCGCAAACCAGAAGTTCGTACAGAGGACAGAGGGCATGGGGAAGGGTCCCCAAGGTGGGGACGTCTGTGTCAGGGGACTGAGGTTCCAGACATGGGCAGAAGGCCCTTCCCTGGGCCCCCCAGTCTGACAGTGGGGGAAGCAGCTGCGGAGAGAAGAGCCAGACCTCAAAGCTGCCAGGCTCCTGTCCACCACCTCCAACAGGAAGAAGCACGCGGGTCAGGGTGGTTACGTTTCATTCCTTTATTTAAAAAAATCATTTGGGGGTATGGTGTGAGAAGAGCACACCTTCCATGGCTTTGGGGAGGAGTTTTCAGAAGGAATCACGGGGGTGGAAACACATGGTGGGGAGGTGGGGAGGCGGGAAGGACTTGGGGGAGGGGCTGCGCCCTCCAGCACCTCTGGCCAGAGTGCTCACTCAGAGGCTGGGTGGGGCAGGGCTGCAGTATGTACAAGGTGGGGGGCAGGCGGGCCAGCCGAGGACCTGGCCACCACGGCGGACCCACAGCACTGCCCGGGCAGACGGGGTCTGTGATCCGTGCCCGTGGCTGCAGAGGCTGGAAGAGGGTGGCCCTTCACTGGGCCCATTGGGTGGGCCCAGGCCTGGCAGAAAGCCAGCCTGCAGGACCTCAAGGGGGGGGGGTGGGCCGAGGCCAGTGTGTTGGGGACCGGGGCTGGGGTGGCCTAAGCATCCCCAGTGAATAGACCAGAACCCGAGACCCCAAGCAAATGCACTAGGGGTGCCCCCACAGACTGCCTCCTACCCGAGGAGTGGGGATCCAAGACGCATTGCCATGTGCGCTGAGACCGGACAAACATGAGACAGGATCCTGTCTGAAACCTGTCGTCAGGCAGCCCCGAGCTCAGGGATGGCGTGCACGACCCCCACGCCCAAGGACCCAGCGGACCCTCCGCCCAGGGCGGGTCCAGGCCAGCCCTGCCTCCCCCCCCCCACCCCGCCCCAAGTCCTAGGGGCCAGTCTCACAGCCCCTGCCCGGCTCCTCTGAGCAGGCAGCCAGGCTTGCCACGGGAGTGACCCTCTCCTGACGCCCAGAAACGGGGCAGAGAGCGCACACATGACCTGGGACGGGGGGCGGCCTCCTTGCACCAGGTGGCGTCGGGGGCCCGGGGGCCTAGGTGTAGAAGATGACCTCGGGGATCTGGCCGTCCTCCACGGACGTGCCATTGTTGTTGCCAGCCGCGTAGCAGAAGGTGAAGCACGTCTTGGCCCCCGTCGTGGGGGACTCGTGGGTCACCTTGCGCAGGCCCTTGGTGCCGTAGTGGGAGTCCGGGCCCTGGGGGAGGGGGGTGGGGTCCCAGCAGTCAGGCACCCCGGGGCCCCAGCAGGGCGGGGGGCGGCAGAGCCCCTCCTGAGGGTGTCCTACTGGGGGCCTCGGGGTGGCAGCCCCCCATGGCGATGGCCGCGCCCTACGCCCCGTGACTGCGGGTCGGGGGCCTGACGGGGTCGGGGGTCAGGGAGAGGCACACCTTGAGTGTGGCGCAGGCCGTGTAGTTGACGTTGGGCAGCACCTCCACCGGCTCTTTGAACATGACCCGGAAGGTGCTGGCGGAGCCGTCACAGCTGAAGCCTGTGTCATTCTGGCCCAGGACCGTGTTGCTGTCCGTGTGGATGATCTGTGGGGGCGGGAGCGGGTGCTGCTCACCAGGGCCCCCCGCTCCCCCCCACCGCAGGACCCCACGGAGGGCGAGCCGCACAGAATCCAGCCTGTGACCGACCCACGAGCAGGCTGATGGGGGGGCAGGACACGGGGTGGGCACCTGGATGTTCACTTGGTAATCCGTGGGCCCGTGGATGGAGCCGTAGAGCCCGAAGCCAACCACGAAGATGCGCTTGTTGACCGAGAACCTGAGCCGCGGACAGAGGAGGTGCTAAGCCAAGGCTGAGCGTCGCGGCTCCCACCCTCCCGCCGGGGCCCCCACCCCCTCCCGTGCCCGGCCGGCTCCCCAGCTCCCCCACCCCCGCGCCCGGGGGCCCACCTGATGCGGTCGCTGGTGCCACTGTAGCCCCAGCGGCTCTCCACCTGCTGGAAGCGGTTGATGCTGCACTCCTTTCCCCGGAGGCAGCAGCGTGGCCGGTCGATGAAGTCGACACGCGGCTTGGGGTTGACGGTGAAGTGCAGGAAGAGGCTGACCACCTCGCGGTCCACGAGGATGCCCGACTGCGCGGGCCCTGCGGGCACAGGGGGCGGAGGTCGGGCTGCAGTGGGGGCCGGCCTGGCGGCTGGGGAGGGCGGGCAGGGAGGGCGGCCGTGAACCTCCGAGAGCACCGCGCGGGCATCTCAGGTGAGGACGCCTGGGGCCGAGGGGGCGTCCGGGCGACCCTGGGGCAGGACAGCCCGGCCCTGGCACTTGGGGGGGCGTCCGATTCACTGGCTCCCGGGGCAACATGCCCCTCCCGGCCCCAGGTCGCCGGGCAAACAGCGGCCCGGGGGGGGAATGGGGGGGAGCGGCCGCCCTGCCCAGGCTCAGGAGGAGCAGTCAGCTGCCAAGGGGGGGCACTCGCGAGACAGGCCCTGATCCAGAGGGGGGTCCGGGAGGGGGCAACCCAGAGGCAGAGGGGGTGGCGAGCGCTGGGAGCTGGCCTCTTCAGGCTGGTGACAGCCTAGGGCTCAGGACAGGGTGGCCCCGAGGGACCCGTGGGGACAGCTCTTGGTGAGTAAGGACGATACAAAGTGGAATACAGAGTGTTAACCATGGTTCTCTTTAATCTCTGCATAGAAAATGCAGAAAGAAAAATACATCAGACCGCGGCCGTGGCGCACTCAGCTGGGCGGAGTTTTTTCCAACTTCTCTCTCGTCTGGTATTTTCCAGTGGGACATAGAAGCAGGGGCGCTCTCTAAAACATGCTGAGTGACGAAGGGCCAGAAAGCCCGACCCCAGAGGACACACACGGGGTCATTCCCAGTGACCTCGGGCAGAGCAAGGGCGGCCTGGGGGGACCCTCACAGGAGGGGTAAGGGGCAGTGGGGGGCACAGGAAGCAGCAGAGGCTCCACACCAAGGGTGAGTGGATGGCACCTGCAGGGCTTGGGGTCCCGGGGGGTTGAGCGTCCCCGTGGGCAGGGGGACCTCCGGGAGAGCGGTTTTGGGGGTGCAGGCCAGGCTGGGAAGGGAGGGACCCAGCAAGACTGCCGTGGGTGTGGGGACGGGACAGCGCGGCTCTGTCACAGCCGGGTGCCCCCGGGGCCCCTGGGCCACATCTGGGGACATCGGTGCTCCTGGGCCCCTGACAACCACCTGGCCCCGGTCCGTAGCGCCCAGGCCCCCGTGGTCCCCGCACACGAGAGGCACTCACTACGCGGCCGATGAATGAGCGATCCGGGCACGGACGGAACAGCCGGACCTGAACTTCCCGTCAGAGACAACTACTCTGCAGAAGTGCGACCCGGCTAGCGCGTGGGAGACGGCCGTGCCGAACAGTTCTTTACCGCTGCTGCTCAATCTGGCAACCCAAGGGGGGGGTTCCCCGGGACCCACCAGCCCCGGAGCCCGGAGAGGAGGCCGGCAGCACTGCGTCCACACAGAGCAGGAAGCACGGTCGGGGCTGCCCCCCACCTTGGCCCGGGGCCCGGCCACCTCCCAGCCCACACAGGCTTGTCGAGGATGCTGGCGCCAGAGCCCGGCCCCCAGGACGTGAACCCAAGCCGGGGGCCCGTGGGAGCCCAGCGCGCGCACAGACACTCGGACACGGAGGGAAGGGAACCCAGGCGCCCGTCGGGTGGCGTCTGTGGGGCGTTGGGTCTTTACACACAGACATGCGCTCCACGCTGTCCACGCGACATGGCAAGGGCATCCTCGGCAGAGAGGCCCACCCGCGCTGCCCACAGCTGGCTCGGGGTCACACCTGGGGTCCCTGCGGGTCGTGCTCCTGCCCAGCGGTCCCCGCCCCCTGACCGTTACCTGCGGCAAACTCCTCGATGGTCATGAGCGGGAAGCGGATGAGGGCGAGCGCCTTGCCCAGCACCTTGCGCTTGTTCTCGGGGGTCACAGGCAGCTGCTGCCGCTGACACTCGGCCTCGGACCAGCGGACGACGGCGCTGAACAGGCGCACCTCCCGGATGCCCAGGGTGTCCCGCTCTAGCACGGCCACCAGCGTGTCTGCGGGGACGGGACCGGCTCAGCAGCCTCGCGGGCTCTCAGAGCCCCCCCCCCCACGGCAGCTGCGCGCCCCCGCACCCCAGGGCCTTACCCAGGTCGATGTCGGTGAAGCCCTCGGCGGTGATGGCGTCGGCTGTGTTCTTGTCGATGTTTTCCAGGCACAGGCTGGCCAGCTGCGGCTCGTCGAAGAGGCGCGCCTGGCGGGAGGGCGTGCGTCAACCCACGGCCCGAGGCAGGGGCCCCGGACGCCCCTCGGGTCACACCTCGTCATGAATTTCACGCGGCGCGGGCCGCGGAGCCCCCACAGACCCGGGAGCCGCGGCCCGGAGCCCAGGCGCCACAGGGCCCGCACCTCCACAGCCGGACAGCGCGTGGGAGACGGCCGTGCCGAACAGTTCTTTACCGCTGCTGCTCAATCTGGCAACCCAAGGAGGGGGGGGTCCCCCGGGACCCACCAGCCCCGGAGCCCGGAGAGGAGGCCGGCAGCACTGCGTCCACACGGAGCAGGAAGCACGGTCGGGGCTGCACCCCACCTTGGCCCGGGGCCCGGCCACCTCCAAAAACCCCAGCACACCAGGACCCCTGCCCCGCCCCCGCGCACGGGCGCCCAGTCTCAGGGCCCCCGCCCCGCCCCTATGCACCCGCATTCCCACCCGCCCCCCACTGCATCCGCGCCCGCTTCCTCGCCCGGCCCAGCGTCCTCGCCTAACCCGTGCGCACCCGGTCCTCACCTTCCCCAACCCCCACCCCCCCA